TTTCTAAGCTACTAACTAATGGGTGGGTTTGGATGGTTCAGGCTTTATGCAAATGGTGTGTATCAAAAGAAAATCTACATTTTCTTTTTCAACACCTGATCTGATTCATCCGCATGCAATGAGAAGTGATTCATTAATCAAGTGATTTCTGTAGCAAAAAGCTGATCTGATGATATTTCACAGAACTATTATAATCAAAAATAAAAAGCCCATGGATTAAAAATTCAAAAGCTCTTATTTGATTCTTGCCAAAGGAAGTTCTTATTTGATTTAGTGTTGATAGTATATTCAAATAAAGGAATATGCTCACCAGACAGGACCTATTAAGATTTAAGAAAAGTGCATGTAACTTGGGATGATAATAATACCCTTTAATTTGATTGAAAACACTTCTCAAGTCTACCCTTTGATTGTGGTCAATCTTTTTTCCCTTTAGTTCTTGCTTCCACTCAAATAAAAAGCAAGTGAATCCAACTTCTTTTAATTAAACAATTCTTGTGTGTACTGATTTGTTTTATTTTGTTGTCAATGCCAAGTTTGAATATTGTTGACATTGAGTATGGATCTTTAATTTTTCTCCATTTCCTGTTATTCTTACTTTTTTTCCACTGAAACGTCTGCATCTATAAATACCCAGCACCTAGTTTCAGAGAAATGTGTACCAAGAGCAAGTGCCTGAACTCTTGAATCTTGATCCTTGACCACCAAATTGAAGCTGAAGGATGAAGACTGCTTACAACCTCTCATCTCTCTTGATCCTGCTTGTCCTCTCCTCAGGTTCTCTTACCTCCCTAAACCCTTCTTTGGTTTCAAATATATTATTGAAGTTACAATGTATCCTTTGATTTTATCATGTTTAAGTATTAGTTAATCAAGTCTGCATTTACAGATTAAGTGTCAAGAAAATTTGAGGTGAGTATAAGCAATATCTGCCAACATCTAGAACCCAATATGGTCAAGTGATGTCAAGTATATCCACTAAATCATGTGCTTTTGCATATATACACTGACTATACACTTGATGGCAAAAAAATCTCTTCACCATCATTTATGGTTTATGTTTGATGTCTAGCATTACCATCATTTTAAAGAAATTAAACTTTCCAAAAACTTTATTCCTTGGAATCAGTTCCTTCACCATCCAAACTCCCCTATTTAGTCATTGGTGGATAATCTGGTTGGTTCAAGAATGAGTTGATGATAGATGAAACGTTTGGATTTGGAGTAGCCCATCAAGTAAAACATACTTAAAGACTCTAATTACCCTAAAACTATAGGCATCATTGATTGATTGGTCAATTAGCATCATCCAACTGGTAGTGTTCCATTTGAAAACAATCTAGACCAGTGAGTTTCTTTGCACTGAGCATCCACACTGCATGCTATTTGTTCTTAGTTTCTTTATTTTCAATCTAACTTTGGGATTTTGGGTTTAAGTCACTAAGACTAATCCTTCATCTCTTTTTATTGACAGTTGAGAATATTGTGCCCATAATCAACATTGCAAATTCAATTAGGATTCCAGAGCATACATGTCAGGAGGCAATTGGATCTAGCAAGTGTGATTCACAAAGGTGTACGCAAGAGTGTTACAAAGAAGCTAGAGGTGCAGGAGAGTGCAGGAACAACATCTGCATCTGCACATATTATTGCAAGCAACCACCTGAATAAACCCCCAATACACCATTTTTATCTCTTGCTGTTAGATGGCTGTAATAACATCTTCTTTGATATTATCTGCATGCTATGATCACACTCGCGTAATAACTGTGGATGTTTTTCAGCACCATTTTCACTTGTTTAAACCTGAATGTTTTTAACTCGTAACACTCTGATCCAAAGAAGGCCCTCTGAAGAAAACATTCACTTAGCACTGATGGTCTTTGAGCATTTATGGCGGATGCATTGAACAACAACTAATAAGGGTTTCTATAGAACTCAATGGGCATTACAATGGTACTCCTCTAAGCAGTACTGTTTATTGCAAGTGTTGGGAAAACAGCTTTTTTGCTTTAGGGAAATTACTTTATTGGCATCTCACTACTTCTGCCTTGGGCACCAATTTTTGTTATTGTCATCACTCCCTTCAAAACCCTCACACAGTTTCTGAAGGGCAAACCCTTTAAACAGCCCATCGTTTCAATTGCAATATCAGATTACCTTAAAACAGAAATTAAAGTGATATGTGACAATTACTTGGGCCCTGATTGGGCAACAAAATTGTATGCACTTTAGCTTGTTTGTTTGCGTCATCTTGTTTGGGAGAAAAGCAGCATGGAATCTACTTTTGGGCGGATAATGGAATACTAATTTCGTGGTCATTCCATTTTCTATTCAAGTGATAAAAAAAGGTGGCATAAAATAAAATCTGCTACTTTCCTCATTCTGTCTGCACACTTTTCAATGCCAAACGTGGAAAGTGGAGGATTCCTTAAATTGTTTTTCATCAGTTTTTGTTTTTCTTTTTTCATCACAATCCAAACACAGCCTCTATAGCTTATCTGGCACCAAATAAACAAGATAAGCCATGGAGTTAGTAAAGGTGTAGTAGCTCTGTGTCTATTGTGTGGCTTGGGCAGGTGAACCCTGGATTAAATTAGAATCAAGGCCTGGGCAGATTGGGAAATTCAATCGAAGCAAGTACATGAACAAGTTTAATTGGTAAACTAATTGAATCTTAGTATAGAATTTCCATAAATCAAGTTTTCAAAAGATTGATAGGTCACCACACCAAAACTTCAGCTATGTATATGAGCATAACTAGTTTTCAATATATCTATTAGCTTATTCTAGTTGAAAATAAGTTAAATTATTTTATGCTATGTTTGGTTTGAAGGAAATATAAGTAAACCTATATAAGGTTTGCAACGGTTTCCCTGCGTTTCCCTTCCTTTCCCTATCTTTTCCTTCAAACCAAAAACAACTTTAACGTGATAGATAATTGGCCTTCACATTCCCCACTTTACAATTTTTTTATCTATTTGTACACTTGGGAACAATAATAAGTGGAAGAATTAATCTATCACAATACAAGGGATACATTGTATGTGGGAGTCTTCGAAAATAAAACCAGAAAATAAATAAAAATTTACAAGGTGGGACAAGGTGAAGATTGTTTTAGATGGTTTATTTTTGTATAAATTAGAGTGAGGACAAGTATATGCATATTTGCAAGTAAAGATAAAGGTATAACTTAATAATATGTTATTAAATGTAACTTTTAAGACTCGCATCAAAACCAAAACAAGTATCTGTTTTATAAATTATAGATGATATTATGGGCTCTTAAATCATTTATCACTAGTTTAACCCATGTCATTTTTGGTCTTTGCGTAGCTTTTTTGGCCCCTTCAACTTGTAACAAAATCACTTATTCCTGTCTAATGCCGTAGACCATTGTGTATGCTCAAACCAGCTTGATCTACTTAATTAATTTTATTACTTATCAGAATTGCTTCCAAGTTTCATCCAACTTCATTTATGCCCCTATCAATTGGTCTTCCTGCTCATCTATATCCTCATTTGCAATCTTAAAATTGTTTCAAAACCTGGTATTTGCACTATACATATTTGTATTTGCATTCTTCCCAAACCAAGCCTCTGTTTGTAATGAGAAGCCAACATCTCTACTAACTTATAATTGCTTTATCAACGTCTCGACGACCTAGTAGCTTAGATGGTCACTAAAAGTCCCTCTGAACATGGAGTTGCCAGATCAAACTCATGTAACTGCAAGCTCTCCTGGTAAGGTCAATGGACCTAGCATGCACCCTACTCTACCTCTACGCCCTTAATCCGCCATGTAATGTGTAACATATAATACCAAAAAAATAAATAAATAAATAAAACACTTAAAATTGCTTTGTGATCTCTAAGGCAGAATCTTTTCTTGTCTTTTAATAATGATTATTGATAATTAATGATACATTGGTGGGGCAACACCCATAAGAAGAAGCAATTTGCTGCAAGTTAAAAGGGGATTGAAAGGGTTTTGAGCAGACCAAAAAAAAAGGACATCGGTTGAAAGTAATAAGAAATGATTTAAGTACTCTTTCAACAATGAATATGGCATTGAACATAATGAAATGGCAAAACGGAATTTATACATAGATGATGATAATGAATGATCATTGGTGGGGAGGTGGTTGTAGTGTTTTTGATGGTCCACCTTGTGCGTTTGTTGATTGGTTGATGCCAAGGGTAGTCAAAGATATAGAGAAAATGTGAAATATTCTTTTTGACTTTTATAGCTTTATTATTATTATTATTTTTTGGCTGAATTTAGGACCTTGTCAAGTCACTTGACCAGATATGGCTACAAATTGCAGCTTCATAGGTGGGAGTGGGACCTTCTGCTTAGAAATGAATTAGAAGAGACCCGTGCATGATGCCCATGTTTACGTTCAGTTTCTCAATTGAATTGGTCATCACGAGTGAACTTAAGGCTCAGTTTGGAAGAAGTAAAAATATTTGTATTTGTACTCTTTCCAAACAGAGCCTAAATAAACCCTATAGATTGTGTTAAGGTGTATGAACTTCCGCTTCTATTCAACACCTCATTTGGCTAAAGCAATAAAGTGTGAGTCTCTTGATTTTATAATTTTAATGAACTGGGCTACCTAATGGGCTCTTAGATCCAACCCGTTTACAAGTTTTCTTTGCGTAACCAGTATTATTGGCCAGGAGCCCAGGAATAGGCCTGTAATAATTAAGAGATCACTCTTCTTGGACTGTAACGGGCTGAATTAATAGGCTTAATGGTTTAACCTATTCTACGACTTCTGTTTCTGAATAACCAGTAATATGGGTCCAGATCCACTTACCCGATGAATAGAATTCATGTGCGGGCTGCATGATAGGAATTGGGCCTCGACATTTAGGCCCAGGGTGAAGCTCGGGCAGAGTGGACTTACCAGTAAGCCCAGCCCAGATTTGCTTCAACACTGAACAGATGGCAAGAAGCATTTCGTCCCATCTCTATCCTATAATAGTTTAGGAGTTAGGACCGAACTCAGCGAGCAGAGCCCAGACCCAGAGAGAGGAGGAGAGAGGGACGTGAGGTGAGACAGTCGAAGCCCGAAAGGGCAAGATTTTAATACAGAAAGAAGAGAGCAGTCGTATATATGTCTGTCTGTTGCTCCTGAGAAGAGCATGGAGATATGACCAGCGAAGAGGTTTACTTCTTGTCGCTCTCGCTCTCGCTCTCAATAAAACCCTAACACCAAATTTTCTCTTAATATATTTCCTTTGCTGCTGCTGCTGCTGCTTCTTCCTCCTTGTCGAATTCCGGCCTCGTTAATCGGTTAGTCAATCAATCAATGAACTGTTCATATGTAATTCGATTCCGATCGTTCCAACGATCGATGTAGAGTTCCTTTTGAAAGATACGTTTTTTATTTGAAAACATTTTGTGCAAATTCAAATCTAACTATTTCATTTTCCTCCTCCCATAACGATTTGCAGGTATTTTCGTAGCTCATTTCTTTAGGGTTTTAGGATCTCTCGTTGTGCTGTCCGCGTTTGGTGGTTTTGATTTCTAGGGCCAAGTTGGGTTGTCCAGGCTGGCGGATTTCAAGGTCCAGTGATGGCGGATCCGCCTGGTTTCCGCCTCTCGTTGGGATTGAGTTGTAGTTTCGAAGCGAAGGTGGTTTTAGCGGTAGGTTTGGGGCTTCAGTGGGAGGATCGTGGAGCAGAATTGTTGGAGGGGGAAGCATGCTGAGTGTGCTGCGGGTACACCTTCCATCCGACATTCCGATCGTGGGCTGCGAACTTACGCCCTACGTACTGTTACGGCGACCCGATGGCTCCATCACTACCGACGATGTTCCGGAATCGGTTCCACTTGATGGATTCTACTTGAGGTACAAGTGGTAAGTACTCTTCTTTTTCTACTTCTAGCCTTTTCTTTTTATCACTCATTTTGTCGTTCTACAGAACTTGGAACTCGCTTCACTGTGTTTTTTGGGTACAAAAACTTGAGCTCAGTAATCTCTTGTACTTGAAAACCCGGTTAATTTATGGATGGGTCAGTTGTACTTATAGGTGCATTTACATTTTTATTTGATGGGCTGTTCTCCCTCTCTCTCTCTCTTTCTCTCTCTCTCTCCCTCTCTAATTTTCTATGGGAGAACCATCATCCTCAGGGGAAAATGCATTTTATTTTTTGAGTTTTGCTGACAAAAACCAGAGGGGAAAAAGACAAGTGTTCACATTGTGAAATACATTGTGCGGGTTTGATGGTGCCACATTGTTCTGTGCCTAAACTACACAACTTTCCAATGCTGGACCAAGTGTAGCAGCGGCAGCCCTAAATGAATATATACTTTTTAAGGATTTCCACCTACTCCTTCCTCCCTTTAGTTTTAGCAAGGTGATTGCTTAGTTCCAACATTCTAATTTCTGCTGGATAGAGTTCTTGCTAAAACAGTCTGACTCTGAATATTCTGCAAATGTTTGTGAGGTCCATGGTAATCGGGACTCAAGGGAGAGACAAGACCTATTGATGTCTAGACACAACAAGACACAAGTCCCACGATGTGTAAACACAACATATATGAGGGTATCAAAGAAAGCATGGGCAGGTTACTGATCCCAAAAAGAATGGAAGAAAGTACTACCATTGCCAATTGGCTATATACATAAAATAATTAGATACCATTGATGAAGTGTTGCTGCTCACTTTGAGACCATTTCCGAATAGAATGCATTGCACCTTAATTGTGCATCTTGGTTTATGAGCATGGTTCAAAGTATCAATACACCTCTGTATCGGCAGACGTGCATTAGTGCTTTATACAATGTGCTTTTTTTTTCAAAATTTCATTTTCATAAATATTTTTATGTTATTTAATAAATAAAATGAATAGGTTCCTGAAAACACCTGAAATAGGTGTATCGAGACCTTGGCGATATGGTATGATACGCCCTATATGGGGCATATCCTATCAATATTTTGAACCTTGTTTATGAGAACTTCTCAAGGTCTAGTCTTGCACTGTGTTAATTTTTTGGTTGAAAAGTCAATCTTTCTCTTACATTTGTGCAGGATACCTTGATTGCAGGTGGAATCTAGAATAGCATATATTCTGAAGGGCATTTACTTGATTATTAGTTAAACATAGTGACTGGTTGTTATATTTATGTTTTTTTCCTCTCCTGAATGGGTTGATTGGATTTTCCTTTGTTATTCAGAAATATAGAATTTTTTACATATTTCTGTTCTATATTGCAGGTTTCGTATTCAAAGTGACAGAAAAGTTGCCATTTGCAGCATCCATCCCTCTGAACAAGCGACTTTGCAGTGCCTGGGTTGTGTTAAGGCAAAAATCCCTGTTGCCAAAAGCTACCACTGCTCCCCTAGGTGCTTTTCAGATGCATGGCAGCATCATCGTATTCTGCATGATCGTGCAGCTAGTGCTGTAAATGAAAATGGAGCAGAAGAGGAAGAGTTATTTGGGCGGTTTAATAATTCAGGATCTGGAGTTATCAATACAAGTTTATCTGGTTCAACATCAAGCATGGGGCAGAGCCAAAACTTGAATAATGGCTCTGCGCCTTTATATCCTGCAGCGATTACAGAAAGAAGTGGTGGTGAAACCTGGTTTGAAGTTGGGCGTTCTAAAACATATACTCCAACAGCAGATGATATTGGTCATGTTCTAAAGTTTGAGTGTGCAGCAGTAGATGCTGAATCAAAGCTACCTGTTGGACATGTTAACACTATCATGACTTCCCGTGTCATTCCAGCTCCCTCACCTACTCCCAGACGATTGATACCAGTCAGTGGAATTGACATGATGGGGCATTTAGACTCTGATGGCCGTAGTGCTTCCTCAGGAACCTTTACTGTTCTTTCATATAATATTCTCTCAGATGTATATGCCACAAATGAATCATACAGTTATTGCCCTTCTTGGGCCCTTTCTTGGCCATATCGCAGGCAGAATTTGCTTCGGGAGATTGTTGGCTGTCGTGCAGACATTCTTTGTCTTCAAGAGGTAAGTTGGTGTGCACTCATTTACTCCATCTCTAGATTTGTTTGTTTTGAGGAGTGATACCTATTCTGCTTTTGGCAACCTTTGTTGGATATGATTCTTGTTAATAGATATGCCTTTTCTAGTATTTTAGATAGCTCATAGAATTTCTTGTTGTCTGATGTGTTCTGAAAACCCAACTAACCGATGTATAAGGAAAATATCATCAGTCTTATTTATATTGTGGCCTACGGAACTGAGTTAGCCAAAACCTCAATTAACTTTTACTTGATCATGGCATAATAATGCCAGTATTTTGTGACCAGAGGTTGATGTTACCTGCTCTCTTTTAAAAAAGAAGAAAAGAAACTTAAGCTGCATTTGGCATTCCTTATTTTAAGGACTTATCTCCTTTTTTTCTGTTAAAATCCAGTATTCGTAGGGGCATTTTAACTGCAAAAGGAGAAAAGTCCTTAAGGAATGCCAAATGCAGTCTTAGTGTAGAAGGTATATCTTTTTCTTGAACAGGGGAAGCCCAGACCAAGGATGTGCAGATTGTTGAGGATTTCCATGCTTTTAGACCTTACATTATACCAATAAATGATGTTGGAGAATTGAGAAGGGATGCAATAATTTTCTTATAAGCAACATGCAACTGAACTCAACTTGGCCCAAATCCCAACCATGTGGGCTCTTTTGATGTTAATAATGATATTAAGTAGTAATATCTTCCTATTTTGTAAACATTCTTCAAACTAAGCAAGCTGAGGATGGTAATGCCTTCTTCCTTTCAGGTTCAGAGTGACCACTTTGAGGAATTTTTTTCCCCTGAGTTGGAAAAACATGGCTACCAAGCTCTCTACAAGAAAAAGACATCAGAGGTTGGTTTATCATTTATGACATGTTGATTTACATGGTTCAATGTCTATATGCCATTGTATTCTTTTCATATGCTTTTGTTTGATTTGCAGGTGTACAATGGATCTCCTTATGCAATTGACGGTTGTGCAACATTTTTCCGTAGGGACAGATTCTCACATGTCAAAAAATATGAGGTTAAGAAACATTTTTCCATTTCTTTTTCCATAATTTCTTCATTACAATATCTGTTTTTTGGCTCTCTACCAATTTGTTATGACTGCTTCATATGTTAAGGAGGTTTTTTCTTGCATGCAGGTTGAATTTAATAAGGCTGCACAGTCTTTGACTGATGCAGTGGTTCCAAGTGCTCAGAAGAAAACTGCTCTGAATCGATTGCTCAAGGTACCTTGAGTCCTTGACTGCACTGGGTTTCTTCTGTGCCTTCTTTGATTTGTTCTTGGATTGTTGGTTTTTCAACTGATGTGTTCCTTTTTTATCATTTGATTTCTGTGTAGGATAATGTTGCACTAATAGCTGTTCTGGAGGCAAAATTTATTGCTGATAAGCGACAACTTTTCTGTGTGGTAAGCGCACTTCTTACCCTTTTTATCTCATGTTTCAGTCTCTATTCTTGCCTATTCATCTTTGACTGTATTCATCAAATTATTGCAGTTTGAGTTTGTGGCTTGTTTTATCCTTGCATCCATTCCATGATGACAGAAAGGGAGATGCAGCAATTTGTCTCAGTGTGCTGCATTACAGATTGTGTTCTGTGTGTGGGTGACAATGTTACTTTCTGTTTTTTCACCTTTTCATAAGTCGAGGCTTAGCTGATCATGATGATTTTTTTTATTTGTATATACTTGATTCTGTCCCTTGTTCTCTGCTAATCCATGGCTATAAAAGAAGGTATAGGATTGTTTCCCAATGTTTGTCCCAGCTATCTGGGGTCTTTGGAGGGATGGACTGGATGTGGACCTAAACCCTTGTCATTCTTTTTGCATAAAGTGGCTGTTCTTGGTCTTGAACTCACCTTATCTTGCTTGTCATTCTTTGTCCTTCTCCCCAATTCCAATGGTCATCCATAGCTTCATGACCAACAGTTTTTAATGGCTTTGCGGCACTTGTAATACAAGTTCCAAGGTCCATTGGTTGTGTCAAACTTTTTCTTCAGTTTAAAAGCATGTGGCTTAATTTTGTACTCTATGTGCTCAGAGCCTCACACATGCTCAATTACCTTGGGCTCAAGGGCCTATAGCTGATGTTTATGCTGCAATAGAGCTGTGGTTCATCCAATATTCTCTCTCTCGCTCTCTTCTATCCTTAACATGTTAATGTTAAACTCTTCCTGCTAAATTTATAGTGATGAACTACCAATTTGATTTATTGCAATTAGAACAAACATCTGATAAGTGACTATATGAGCTGCTCCAACTGCCATCATAGCATTGATGTGTGACCAAACATCTTCTAGGAGCTTATTACAAACAATCTGATCAACTTCATGGTTGTTGCATGTTACTGGTATGGCTCAACACTGTCCTGCAGAGGGGTTATGTTTAGCCTTTACCATACCCATAAGGAGAGGTGAAGAATTGTGTGTTTTTCCATACATGGTCAACATTAGAGGTGTAAAACGGGCCGTGCCAGGCCAGCACGGCACAGCCTGCCTGCAGCCCGTGCAAAGTGTGGGCTGTGCCAGGCCAGCATTGCACGGCCTGCCTGCGGGCCGTGCCGCCTTCCCCAGGGATAATTTGGGGGGTCGGCCCAGCACAGCTCACAGCCCAAGCCCATGCGGGCTCGTGCCTGGGCCGGGTGGGCTGCAGCCATGCCAGGCCAGCATGGCATGGCCTGACCGCGGGCTGTGCTGTGCCAGCCCGTGGGCCATCCTGGGCTGTGCCACCTTCCTCGAGGATAATTTGGGGGGTCGACCCAGCACGGCCCATAGCGCAAAGAAATTAAAAAAATACTTAACCAAATAAGAAGTCGATGAGACAAAGACTCGAAGTGAATAACAAATTGGAAGAAAAATAGGAATTTTATTTCATTTAAATTTGAGTGATACAAAGAATACAATGGATGGATGGATGAAATATGAAAATCGGAAAATGGAATAAATTAATAAAATATAAAAAATACAATATAGTTACAAATTGAAAATAAAAAATTACACTATTAAAAAAATCAAATAAATTAAATAAAATTAAAACAAAATTTACAATAATTTGAAAAAAATGCTACACAACTATTTGAGTATACTAAAAATATCCACTTCGTTTTCTCTTGTTGTTCTTGACTTTGATCATCTACTTCAGGTGAAACATTAGGTGTAGTGTCATGCCCTCCTTTGGGGACCCCCCAAAATACATAAATACCACCCCTACATAGCTGTTTATAGCCGTTGGGGGTATTTCTGTAAAAGAAACCCCAAAAAGCTAGTTCATCGGGCGGGCCGAACGTGACCCGCGGGTTGGGCCATGCTGGCACGTGGGCCGCGTGCGGCGCGGCAGGCACGGCTGTGTTGTGCCAGCCTGTGGACCTGGAACCCCAGGCTCAATACAGCCCCGGACTATCATGCCAGGCCTGGCACAGCCCGCGTGCCGTCGTGCCGGGCAGCGGGTGGCATGGCTTGATTTACACCTCTACTCAACATGAGTTGTAAACATATCAGGCCATGTGCTGTATTGAATGTTTTGCACCTGCTGTATCAAGTAGCCTAAGCCTGGTCTTTATGGTGAGGCACTCTATTCTTCAGATGAGTTGGGTAGTTGATCTTGGCCTGTATCTCTTTTGTGCCTTAACTTCCCAAGTTGTTAATTTTACTTCTTTGTACTTTCCATCTGTCTGTAAAAGGCCATTAATTTTTCTGCCTTAAAGACCTTGCCACATCATAGGCATATGGAGACTTGATGTCAAGTGCTGACATGCCAGTTCAGACCTATCATGTTTCTTTGAATTTTGTGCTATTCTGTTTGCTTCTTTCCTGACCCATAGAAATTCTAGATGGAGGGAGACCCTTTTGTAAAACACACTCCAGCTCCATCATGAGATCGCATGGAACCCACAAACATATTTATGTGCTATATTATATACCTAATTTGTCACTGCTTAGACTGCAGTCGATCAGGTCTTCCACTTGGAGTGGTTCTTCTCAAAGTTTTTGTTTTTCAAAGGATTCAGAATGCATTCTTCTGTATATCAATTTAAACTGGCAGTTGGTTTATCTTGTCCTTGACTTCATGTGGTGTGTAGAAGTTGGCTTTTTTCCTGTCATTTTACAGCATTTCAGCCTTACTTTTCATGTGGTTTATAACCATTTTCTATTTCTCTTTTGGCATTGTACAGGCTAATACACATGTAAATGTTCACCCAGATCTCAAGGATGTTAAGCTCTGGCAGGTTCTCATAGAATTGCTTTATTTCTTCCTTTCTTTCTTTCTGTGTAGTTGATGTACTTTCAACTGGATCTCTTGTCATAAAAAACTAAATAATTGGATGTTTCTTGCTTATTGTATCAGGTGCATACTCTTTTGAAAGGATTGGAAAAAATAGCTGTGAGTGCAGACATTCCAATGTTGGTCTGTGGAGATTTTAATTCAGTTCCTGGAAGGTAATTCTATTATTCTGGTTTAATTTCAGTTATTATTGTAATGCAATTCATTTTTGTCACAAGCATGGTGTTTTGCTAATCTTGTAGAGAATCTTGGATCTGATTGCAGTGCTCCTCATTCACTTCTTGCAATGGGGAAGGTTGATCCCATGCATCCAGATTTAGCAGTAGATCCCCTTGGAATCTTGCGCCCTGCAAGCAAGTTAACTCATCAGCTACCACTGGTAATTTTATTTCATTTTATTTTTTTTTATATTTAATATCTTAAGAACCTTGTTATGTCTTTCTCATTACCCTTCTTGGGGAAAAATTGGTATTACATTACCTTCTTGTTTCCCTTGGAATCTTGCACCCTGCAAGCAAGTTAACTCATCATGTACCGCTGGTAATTTTATTTCATTTTATTTTATTTTTATATTGAATATCTTAAGAACTTTGTTATATCTTTCTCATTACCCTTGGGCAAAAATTGGTATTACCTTCTTGTTATTGGCAGTAATGGTTTTAAGGTCATCTGCGGTATATATTTAATATCTTGGCCTTTTTAGGCATCAAAGGACAATACTTCAAAGCTTAACTTTGTCCCCTTATGCTTCACAAATTGAGGGTTGCTTTATCCATCTGGTGTCATATGTAGGAAAGATATAAGGTTTTTGACAAGATTGGGACTTCAAAGGGCTACTCAATTATTTAAATTCTTTTCTAAGATTTGCTTATGTTAGCAGTTCATTTATTCTACTTGAAATGGTTTTCAGGTTATTTTTTGCAATCAAGATTTTTCTTCTACTAACTAAAGGGTTTATGGTCACTTTTAGTTAATGATGCCTTTTAGGTGTTGCTATTACTCAGGGCTTTTGCAGCTTTAGATCTACTTTGTCTTTGTCCAGCTCAGATAAGCATGGCAATTTCAATACTTCCAAATATGTTATTGATGTTATCTTTTGATATAATGATGACTAAACCTAACTGCTTTTATTGTTCAAGAGTAAATACTTAGTATCTAAGTTTAATCATTTTCCTGTCTGTTTATTGTCTTTTTTTCTAACTTGATTTTTAAATTTCATTGACTTGGTCCTGGATGAGTCATATACTGAAGAGGTCTAGTGGATCTGCAGATTTTGTGTGGCAGCGTTCTGCCAGGTCGAGAGGCTTTGTGTTTCCCTTCCCTAGTGTCTCTACTTGAGCCAGCTTTACCCCAAAATCCTTTGCTATTTTGCTATGTGGCCAAACTAAGGCAAATCTTGTCTGGCCGTATTTGAAATTTAAAAGGAAATATTGTTCCATCCCCAAGGTGACGCTCTTCATCTTCAACTCCAGAAGACAAATATGACCCAATGGGATGAAACAATTATAGATGGTCACTATTAGCAGTGTGAGGCACATAGGAAGAGGATACTGGCAAGGGAGGAATTTTGCAGAATGCTTGTTGATTTGGCTGCTAGGACTAGGTATTGGCAGGCAATAGCAAGTTCATCAACTTGGAAGCAAGCCCGTAGACAGTCAGCCTCCCTATACAGGGGATAATGAATTTTGATGCATGTTCTATTGGAAACTAGTGGCCCTTAGGTGTAGAATGAGCTTTGAGAGACCATGGAGTTTAAGTTATTGTGTTTTATCGTGGTCCTGCTAGAGTATGGAACCAAGGTTCAAAATATCATTATGTATTGGCCCGTATCGGCGCCTTCCCGATACGCCCCTAGAGGGGGTGTATCGGGTCAGGCCATGGTTCAGAGGGTAGTCAGGACTTAAACTGACCCATCTGAACCGTTTTTCGAAAAAAATAAATAAAACGTTAAAAAAACACCAATACAGGCCGATACGCTGCCGTATCGGCCTGTATCGATATTTAGAACCTTATGGAATGCTGTTAGAAGAAAATTTGTTTTATTTTTTTATTTTTTTTTATTCCAGGGCACCATACTGCTAAATTTCCTCCCTGTGGGTGTACAACAATCATATTGATTCGTGGGCTGTCATTAGATGACTACCTCATTGGATTTTTTTATCATTTTTGTAGTTGGCCTCAGTACAGTCCCCCATTTATATCGATGCTCATTCCCTGTGGGTGTACAACAATCATATAATGCATTCTCTTCTGTACTTTGGGCTAAGCTGTAACGTTAGTGTCTTTGTCTTTTTCTTTTTTCCTTTCTCGAATCTCTTTGTGACTCTTGGAAGGTAAGTGTTTTTGTCTTCCACTTGTAAATTTTMTACTGATGAATTAATGAAAGTGTTATTGATAAAAAAAAAAAATAATGCATTGCCTTTTTCATAATAAGATGTTAAATATAGTGAATCAATGTTAAAGATTCAATACATTACTACTGAATCTATCTAGGTGTCTGGATTCATTGTGCCAACCTAAGATTTTTAGTTTTTGATCTTATATGAAATGCAATTGAACTATGAGCATGGGAACTATTAGCCAAGTGTCCTGTCTTTTGGTTTTTCAATTTTTGGTAGGGACCAAGGACCAAAATTTCATTCTTGAATTGGACCTAATTGATGACTTACCCGAAAAGAGAAAAAATTGGTCCCGATTGATGATCTGTTTGATATTTTCTTCTCATGGGTTGGTTGTCTATGAATGTCTATTGAGTCCTTTTTCCCACTTTAATTCAATTTTATTGAAGAAGGCGGATGCAGTTCCTTGAATTCAAGGCCTGGTGCTGCATTAGGTTAGGGAGCTGGGCAATGATAGCTCCTCTGCATTCCTAAGCATTCTGCCCTTTAAGCATGCAACACCAAGTAATCCAAGCCAACTCACATGTCTCTCTAATGGTGGATAATCATCTTTTTAGAGGTACTAAATACAACTCTAAGAATGAGCAAAATGGTGGTTGTGTTAATGATAAAGATATTGAGGGAAATCGCTGAAAAAAGATTGAACATGTGGGAGGGATCCAAACCAATTCTGCCTTCATTTCCTCCATTTGGATTTTGCGGCTTGTGTCTGTCAAGCATCTGAGAGTCATGATTACTCTCTTCATGCATTCACCCTTCAAAGCTCTGCTTGAAATCATAATATTTTCTATTCATGGCTTAAACAATCTATGCTAGTTGTGACATTAACGTTGCTGCAGGTCAGTGCTTACTCATCCTTTGCAAGAATGGGTGTTGGTCTTGGTTTAGAGCAGCACCGAAGGAGAATGGATCCTACAACAAATGAACCTTTATTTACAAATTGCACAAGAGATTTCATTGGCACCCTTGATTACATATTTTACACAGGTAAATTTGTTACAAGCCCTTTTTTAGTAACCATACTTTGTCGGAGGGGTGGTAACAGATGAACAATTTGCTTTGCACCCATGCAAAATACTAGTGGCCTCCTTCGCTCTGAGGGAAGTTCCTTCTATTAATAGCATATATCCAAAAAGTAATGCAAAATACTGGAAAACGAGACATGAGACCCACTGCTCTGCTGCTTTTTATTAAGATTACTTGGTTACGTCTTGTCTTCTAATGTGCTGCAGAGGTAATGCACCAGTGGGTCTTTGTTTTTGTAGTTACGACAGTTTTTTTTCCCTGGTTCATAATTTTCATGAGAACCTTGATGAGTTCGTTTGCTTGTTTCAGCGGATTCTCTGACAGTGGAATCCTTGCTGGAGCTCTTGGATGAGGAGAGCTTACGGAAAGAAACAGCACTTCCATCTCCAGAGTGGTCATCTGATCATATAGCACTCTTGGCTGAATTCCGCTGTAAGCCTAGGACAAGACGTTGACATTACAGGTAAGTATGCATTGGTGTCAAACGAAACAACCCTGGAAAATTCAAGACTAAATCTCATTTTAGTTTAGTATAAAAAAAAAATCTCAAATTAGGTTGTGCATTCATGTTGGAAATTAGCCACTCTACGGGAGCTTTAGAGCAAATCTCATTTTAATCTTCCCTAAGATCATTAAGCTGTTTTTCCAATGTTTTTATCCAGGCATCCCTACTAGCCACCAGGACAAATCTAGTCAATGAAGATCAATTCAAGCAGCTAAGTTATTTGGAGTAGATCGTGCTCCCTCAATTCGCCACCGGGTGCCTTAATCCTCATGGGATCAAAATCATGATCTATTTGTATCATGCAACTTGTTTCATAGAAATGTCACAAATGTGTTGTTCAAAATTTTTGGGCTCTTTAGCATAAATTTCATTCATAAATGGCCGGCAGTCGATATATTTAGTTATTTCTCCCAGTTTTCTTCATTTCAAAGTGGAATGGGGGTGAATGCTGTGACATATTGGGGGAAGGGATGGGACCGTGTTTAGGGGGGGAATAAGCCCATTCTACAATTTTCCATTGCCACTTCGGTTCCGGCATCGACTGCTGAAGAGGAAACAGATTTTCCTACTGATCGGTACAACAGTAATCAAAGGTTTCTTTATTCTTTTTGCATATACAAGTAGTTCTACAATTTCATCAGGGTCTCTTAAGCAACTTAAGATTTTTTGCATCCTATATTTGGGTCAATGCTGCTGCTGTATTGGCAGGTCGGTGACAGCTGTCTCAAAGGGAGTAACCGCTGTATCCGTTGTGTATTTTCTAGGCTAGACCACTATTACGTCCAAGTGCTAACCGCAATTTATCGGTTTTTCGGTGCCATGGGCTTGGTCTTTTCCAGTGTAATGAAGTTTGCTGCAAGACGATTATGATTTATGAATGCTAGATGGATCAATTTGGAGCTACTGGAAATTCAAGATGAATTACCATAAACCCTATTCTCTTTTTTTTCTCTGTTTTGGCTAACTGAAAATGATAAGTTATTAAGGAAAGATAGAAGCAATACAAGGGGCCTAAACTGCCGCTTCTTAATACAGTGAAATTGCTCAACCATTCTACGAGTAATACAGTGAAACTGCGCCAAGGTGAAATTTCTCAACCGAAACCATAAACCCTATTCTCAAGAGAAGAGATTGACTCCATGTGTCAGAAGTCTTTTCAGTTAACGCGATATTAGTAGTACCAGTTTTTCACTTGGATTGAATTTAAGTAATATATTATAATTTATTTTAAGAATTTTTGGGGGTATTATTTCAAGAATTGTCACCACATTTCAATATAGAAATATTATTCCATGTGGTACATATGCAACATAAGAAGGGTCTTCTCAGAGTTGAAGTCAGTCCCCCACAGCACATCCTAACAGTGTATTGGGAACATCTCCTGATGATAGTATCAGAAATGATGAGGTATCATCGGGAGATGTTTCCAATACATGGCCGGGATGTATTGTGGGACATTGTGGGACGCCCCCTTGTGGGGGGTTGATTTGAACTCTTAATCAGATCAATTATGTATCTCCATTTGGAAGGAGTACAAATACAAATATGTAGAGCGCAATTTTTTTTATTTTATATGTATTTGTACTCTTTCCAAACTGAGCCTTATGATTGCTTCCTATGTTATGTTAATTTTGTTTTGTAGGAATTTTGTAGCTGATAAGGATCATTCATTATGATTGCCCAAGTAAAGGCTGCATTTAGTTCCCTTCCCAAAGACTATTTCTCTCGTTGTGCTCTACTACTGCTAACATCCTTTCCAAAGACTATTGTCGAGTAGAGAAATTATGATTTAGGTTTTGGGGAAAATAAAAAGAAGGAAATGCAATACCTGATTGTTTCCGGTCACCGGTCGCCTTAACTGCACAGAGAAGATGAAGTTGTGATTTAGGTTTTGTGGAAAATAAAAGTTAAGAAGGAAATGCAATACCTGATACTGAGTTTGAGGAATAAAAACTGAAACAAAAAATAATACCCGAATTTGTCCTCCGATCACCGGTGTTGACAATCGCTGGTGATGGTTGGTTGCCGTCGATTGGAGAGGGAGGAAACGGGAGGGAACAGGGTTTGGTGTGAGGCGGCAAAGAACAGGGTTCATTTTTTGGTTGTTTTGAATGAAATCTAACGGCATCCTCTATGGACATCGTTTCTTTGGCTTCACATGCTTTAAGCAATTACACAAATTAAAATACGCGTGACGTGTCCTCCTTATGCGCAAACGGTTACGTATGCACAGTGCTCTTCACTACAAATGGAAGGAATTGCAACACAGAAAGATGGGAAGAAACAAACCCATAAGCATAAAACAAATGATGTATTGATTGATGGGCTCTAATAAAACCTTCTTCAGTGCTTGAGCTATGCCCAGTGGACCACTTAGTTCCCTTGTTTTTTGTTGTTTGATAGTGATTGTTTGGTTTGATGCCTTTCGCTGGGAGACGGGATCTGCTCCTCACGCATGGGCGCCTCACAAGTACATCTACTATGCATTGGGAATATCTCCCATGAATAAAAATTTATAAGTATGGGAGATGTGCCCAATGCATAGGAGGATGTGCATGTGAAGTCGGTGTGAGGCGCTCTGTGTGAGGAGAAGATTCGGTCTCCGTGTGGATTGCCATCTCCCTTGACAGGAATCTAACTGATGTGATGTCTTGTCTGTTAGATCAAGGATTTAAAAACTGATCTGAAACTGAAACTGTTTTGGCCCAAGGTTTTTCAGGTCAGTGGGTTCAGTTTAAATGGATGGCCTGTGCCAACTTAAAAAATAAAAAATTTAAAAACAATTAAAATAAAAATGGTCAAAAACATTATTGGGGTCAAACAGGTTGACGGTTTGACTACTCGGGTCAATGAGTTGTTAATCAAGTCAATGATCTTTGGCCAAAGACCAGGTTAAGAGTGAAATAGAATCGGTTGCCTGAACAGTTCTTGGGGTAAATGATCCGACCATCCAGGTCAACCACAATTCGAAAACACTGCCTTAAACTGTGCAATAAACCAATGAATCTCCACAGCCATTGCATTCTTTTCAGTGGTTGCTCTAACTTTTCTACTTGCTTCTGGGAGGTAAGGACTGTGGAGCAGTACCTTTCTTTAAAGTTAGCCCCCATTAGGGAGAGCTTATTGGATAAATAGGTGATTAACCTAATAAGCACTTGTAATCACTTGAAATAAAGCAAAATTTTTTAGCTTATTTCCAGAAAAGGTAGAGCCTAAAATAAGCACCTTTTTTTTTTCCGGTAAGTGCTTAAAAACAGCACTCCCAAACTGAAGTTTAATGTGATGTTTATCTATGGAACGAAATAATCAAGATCTTTAAAGCATTGTTTTCAGGTTGCCCTGGGAAGGTGGGATTCAACCTCAACCCCAAGTCCTTATGAGGGATCTGAACAGCTTATAATTCACAGCTTTATGAGGGATCTGAGCCTTTATAAGTGTTAGCATATTTCATCAAAACTTGTATCATTATCTCCTTACTTCTAGGAGATAATTAGTTGTACCTATCTTATCTCCTTCTCTCTTATTTCTTTCCTTCTTGTGTTCTACTTTTGGTCGCCGACCTAGTTTCCTGATTGTATCTCGCTCTATTATAAATAGAGCTACAACTTATTGAAGAATACACAATACATAAATTATTATCATGGTATCAGAGCCTCTGCTTCAGAAGCTCATCCGCCCAACCAACTGGAGCCCCGCGTCATTCTGAATCGAGCATCGGCGAGCGTCTGCTCCCATTGGAGCTGCCTCCCATGAATCCCCAGAGTTGACGTGTAAGGCAATCGTGTTCCCACCGGAAGCTTCATCATCAGCTTTGCTGCTAGCAGAGACACATTTGGAAGATCTCTCCCGGTCTTCTTCGGCAACAACAAATTGTGAACGATAGGCATCACACCACCGTTTGCGATCGTGACCGTACCAAGCAATTTGCTGAGTTCTTCGTCACTCCCTCGTCTTCTTGTTATCCCTCGCTGCGTTCCCAGCTAATTCTACCTGCGTTCCCTCGTTGCAAGATACTCAAGAACGGTGGCGAGACATACTAGAGCACCGGAACCTCTGCGTATTTACCGTCTTTCAGAAACCTGTCGATCCATCCAACAGGAAATTGAAGCCCGGCCTTGCTGCTCCTGGATACTGCCACCGACTCTCTGCGTATTTACCGCCTTTCAGAAACCTGGCGATCCTTCCAACGGGAAACTGAAGCCCGACCTTACTGCTCCTGGATACTGCCTTCTTTGACTTTCATAATCTCCAACATCTTCTCCTCTCCACGCTTGTACCTCTCAACCGACCATGTCTAGTAAGGGTCAGTGACGCCCGCCTCCCTACGAATGTTTACCAGGTCTGCGCTCTCCAGCCAGTACTCCATTGCACCGTCTGCATTGTGTCGCCTACGGAACCGCTCGGTCCCACCGGGCGCCACCTTCCCCGCCATATGCTTCAAGAGGTGGTCCAGTAGCCCTGTATCCCCAATGTACTTTCTAGCCTCCTATCTCAGTTCTTTGAAGCTCTAGCGCCCAAACTTCTTGACAAGTAACTGAGCAAAGCTCCGAGAGGGATCGACAGCTTGGGATTTTGAAGTGAGAAACAAAGAAAGGCGGTGATCTCATTCGCATACGAGACCTGTTGCGCTTGATGGTACAGAACCTTCGTCAGCGACTGCGTGCACCAGAACTGAGGCTGCCCCAACGAAGAAGACATTAGGGACTCTGCGAAGTTTTCTTTAAGGTCAGTATTTTCCCGTAATTCGTGTTGCTCCAAAGATCTATGTTTCTCCTCATGGATTCATCCGAAGCTACACAACATATCTCTCATCCCATCACTGTTACCTTCGATGGCTCAAACTATGATTTATGGTCCCAAGAGATGTGCAATTTTCTCAAGGGACGCCTTCTATGGTGATATGTGACCAGTGAGATTCCCAAACCTACTAAAATTGTTGATGAAACAGAAGATGAATTTGCTGAACGAGCATCAAGTTGGAATTTCGCAGATATGACTATCCTAAAGAGGTATGGGATTTCTTACAAGGTCGTTATTCTATTTCTGATGATGTGCATCAATTTCAGCTTTATAAGCGTCTTCACCGTATGAAGCAGCAACCTGAACAGACCATCCACAGTTATGTCTCTGAATTACAAGTTCTTTGGGATCAGTTAGCACAGTGTGAACCTGAATAGGATAGTACTTCTGCAGCTACTACTTATTCCAAGCTTCGCAATCGYCAACGTGTTTGGCATCTTCTGATGACTCTCAGGGATGAGTATGAACCTATTAGYGGTACTCTACTTCATCGTAGCCCATTGCYTTCTCTTGAAGTTGTGATCAAAGATTTGCTTTCTGAAGAAACTCGTCTAAAAATACTTCGAGATGAGCGATCCTATTATCTACTGATGTTGTTCTTGCTACTCCGGGT